CATACACTCAAAAGGATATTCTGGAAAAAAGCATGCCAACAGAATAACTACATTAAATCTCAGAAAAAAACTCAAAATCTTGTGACTATCCCTAATAGATGGACTGGCTAGAGATAAACCAATTGGTGAATCTTCCAAAATTCTTCCAAAAGAAAGTGTCGTACTCTCCCCTTATAAAGGTAATGGTTTCTTTCCTTTTATATTTCTTTCCTTCCTCACCTAATTTTGGTAGCTAAATGGCTCGGCCTCACATATGCCCTGTGTCCCAAGAGAACCCCCTGCCAGGCCTACTGCTCCCTATTTCCGCCCCCAGCCCCAGGGCCTGGGGTACTCCCCAACACTGCTTCCTCAAAGCCCCTTGCTCATCACATACCACCATCAGCATCCAGGGCTCAAGAGCAAGAGGAGAGAGGGAATCTGAAAGGAAAATCCTGGAGCAGTTAGGAACTTTGTCCCATCTGAGAGCTTTGACAGGTTGGTGAATGGTTAGTATTTGCGAAAGAACAAAATAATATTGTTTTAGCACTTACTAAATGCCAAACACTGTGTCATGCATGTTTTACCTCCCATCCAAGTACTAACCAGGCCTGACCCTGATTTAGCTTCTAAAATCAGACAAGATCAGGCACGTTCAAGGTAGCATGGCCCGTAGGCAATGCATATTTCATCCTGAAACAATAATTCGTGAGACAGCGCTGCCATATTTTCTTCATAATACAGATGAAGAAAGTGGTTTAAAGATTGCTTTCCCTCTGTACAATAGGCACTTTATCAGCGGAGGAATGCAGTTAGACATAGGGATGTGCAAACAAAATGGGGGTATGGGAGTTAGGGAGAGCTGGTGGCTGCTTGGGATCTGGGGTGAGCAAAGACAAGAAGGTGGAGCCTTGGGGGATCTTGAAGGGGTAACAGAAAAGCAGTTCCCTCGAGTTCAACTAGTTTGGCAAAAGGATCCTCCAGGTGAGATGACGGGGCTCTGGAACTCAGTTTGCCTGGGGTATCTGCCACCCTCTACCCATCCCTCCCTTTCCAAACAGTCCTTTGGGTGGATTCTATTTCCTTTCTCCTTCACAAAGAGAGCTGTGTCAATAACTGGCAGAGAAAAGCAGAGGAGAAATCTGGCCCAACTCCTCCATCAAGTTTCCATTATAACGGGCACCCACCCCTAAAGCCACCTAGAATAAACAAAACCTCCACTTCTCCCAGATATCTTGATCTTATTAGATTCCACACTAGAATACCGAAACAGTGCTTCTTTTCGTGAGGTGCCACTCAGGAGTTATTTTCTCCATAGGATATTTTCCTATTGTGAGCAGTTTTACAGCTGGCTGCCCACAGACACGAACAGATGAGTCACAGGAGAGGAAAGGCTGGACCATAATCCCATATCTGAAAACCTGGGGGTCAGATGTGCCTCAAATTTCAGATTTCGTGACTCTAGAAAAGTAATGAAATGCATTTAGTACACACTATGTAACACTCAGAAATTAAACTCATTAATATAACTGCAGCAGAACTTAGCAATATATGCATTAAGTGAGATAAATATATACTATAGCATCTCACATTGGTTCAGGTTAGGGTTTACCACCAATGGAGTATGCAAAAAAACTTTGGGTTTTCAGAGACTTTCAGATTTCAGAATTGTCCATAAAGGATTACAGACACATGCAAATGGCTCAAATATTAGAAAAAAGAGTCAACCTACTAATAATCAAAGACATACAAATTAAAATAATCAAAGTATCAATTTTCTCCTTACAAATTAACAAATACATTTTTCAGAGAAAATGCCAACAGTGTGAAAAGTGAGTCCTTTGACTATTGCTGTGAGAACACAAACTGGGACAACTTTCATGTCACCAATACTGATGTCACCAATGCCTCAAAAACATGAATAGCGTTGACCCCAAAAATGTCTTTTCAGGAACCCATTTCCTGGGAAGTCATTGATATCTAGACAAAGCTTCACACTTAGACGCTCATTGAAACAATGAGTTTTAAGATTCATTTGAAAATAATTAGCAATAACTGAAATCTCCCAACATGGAGGCCCACTGAGGTAAAATGCAGTGAATCCATATAACAGAATATGATGCAGCCATTTTGAGTGTCGGGAAATGGAGAAGCCATGATGTATAACATTAGGTAAAAACCACAGGATACAAAATTATATTTGCATTATGATCTTATCCAAGTAAAAAATATATATAGAGAGAGAAGACTAGAATGAAATGAACTAACGGGTGAATGCCTTGGAATAATGAGATCAAGGATGACTCTCTCCCCTTTCCCCCAAACTTTAAATCTTGTGGGGAATTTTCCAGAAATACCAAAAGCCCTGTATTTTAGCTGAGGGAAAATGGCTCAAGCTCAAGCTCCAAGGAATGCTTTCTCAAAATATTCTGTCTCCTGACTACACGGATGTACAGCTGGGTAGGCACCTGGCCAAAGGAGAACCCAGAGTTTAATAAAGCTTATCTTTAGCATCTAAGTGAGGAGTCAGGAGGCTGCATGGCAGCCCACAGAGCCCAGAAGAGGACACATGCCTTTCACCAGCCTCCTTCCGTTTTCTGCCTATTCCTTTATAGAAGGCTGTGCCCACTGTCTGGTAGAGGAACTAATGAGCCCAAAGATTGAGTAACCAGAGAACTTAAGGACATAAATAAGCCAAGATGTAGAAAAGCATCCCTTCTGGTGCTTGTGGGATACAGTTTCCAGGGCTGCTACTCAGAGAGAAATTTAATGAGATTCTCCTACTAGGCAGGAAGTAAAAGGCATTGCTACTGCCCACTGTGAAGTTATCTGTCCTTCTTTTTCTCTGCTTCCCACCTCCTAATAACCACATGCCTACATTTTTATAATGTCCTGAACTCCCTGTCTTAGAAGCTCAAAAAGGCTGCTCAGGTTGATTTCTGTTCTATTTTTCTCTCTGGGGAACAGTGGGTACAGTGGAAAGAGAATGAACTTTGGAATCAAGCTGGCAAGATTATCAAAGATAAAGATACATCTAAAAATATACACACACACACACACACACACACACACACACACATACACACACACACACACCCCTCCCAGTAGATCTGCTTCTCTGATTAAATACTGTCTGATATACTAGATATGTGATGTTGGGCCAATTGTTTAACCGCTCTGGGCCTCAGTTGCCTCACTGAAAATAAGAACTTCCTAGGGTTATGAGAAATAAGTATAAAAATGCATTTGAAGTACCCAACTTGAAGCACATAGCAGACACTCAGCATTACTTCCCTTTTTTTCCTCCCAACTTCCTTAAAACATTCCCCACAAACATTAACACTGTCTTAGATTCCAAGGGGAGACCAGGTGGACTGGTCAGGCATCTTCACACGGGCCTCAAGTCACACTGGCAAATTTGTACTCTGCACCTTTTCCTTCTTAGACACCTCATTCTTCTTAAGTGTTCACTTTCATCAAAAAAGTGCTGTGCAATTAGATGAGAGCTGTCTTCATCACATTCCCATCGTAAGAGCTGGGTGCTACTCAGAGGCCCACGGAAACACAAACTTGCTCTAGGAACGGATTTCTTCAGTTGACGGCTGATTATATGCATCATGTGCTGAATTTTAAACAATTTTACTCCCAGGTTAAGCTCTTCAAATCCTGGAGCAACTAACTCTAGCCCTCTAAGTACAGCCTCAGGTCCAATTTGAACCTCATTATGCGCCTACCTGTCTCAGCAATGAAACACAGGCTGAAAATCAAAATCTCCCATCCAATAATGCATGTCACTAGTGGCCATTTCCCCTGGGGGGATGGCTGAAGGAAATACAGGTCTGCTAATAAGACTCAGGAGATATATTATCCACTACGTTTCTTTCCTAATACGTTTTGGTTTCTATGAAAAAGTGAAGGCCAAAGTGATAAGGCAGTTGAAAAACTGTAAGTGATTGGACTGGAGTCTTCTCAGGAATGAAGAGCAGTGTATGTGTTTTCACAGAGGAGACAGTCACCGTTAGAAGGCTTCCAGTTCATATAATTTGGACCTAAAGAGGAGCTGCTCAAGCTTAGAGGAGCTTGCTGACGAAAGACTCCAGGCCGTGCTAACCCCAATTGGCCAAGAAGGTATACGGCTATTGTTATTATTTTTAAACTAATGCAGTAAGGTGGCAACTAAGCGGGGAGAACAGCGGCAGAGACTCCCCGGTTGTCTATGGTTATAAAAACAAAGAGGGTGAGACAGGACTTTCTTAAAAGTTACATGTCCTCTTAGATTTCAATGAAAAACTACTGCTCTAAGTTCATCACTGGGGACAATACTTCATCGTCTCAGCTAGTGGCTTCCTGCGCTAACCACAGAAGGTTTCTTTTGTGGGAGCACGCTTGGACTCAAAGAAGAAAAAAATATAAGTTTACAAACGCCTCTTCTCTTTTTCCAAGCCTGATTTATACAGGATATATAGGAAGAAATCGGAAATCCCCAACCTGTTAGAGAATTCATCAACCACTAAAACAAATGAAAACTTGGAAAGGAACTAGATTGAAACGCCCCAAGGTTTTAAAATATCAAAAAAGGGGGGCGGGGGGGGGGAGCGGCGACAGCGCACCAGGTCTCCTGTGTCACGATCTTCCGCTCACAGGGCCTTTGAGGACAAGAGCAGCAGGAAAGGGGTTCGCTGGGCTCCGGGGTGCGGGGCGTAAGGGCACCCGACGAAGTCAAGACCAGGCCTGTCCCTACACCCCGGACAGCTCTGAGGTGGGGGCTGGGGGTAGCAGGTTCTCAGAGGAGCAAGCGAAAGGAGTGCGGCCGGGAGCCCGGCACGCGGGCGGGAAGGGAGGGACCGGAGCCAGCGCCGCGCGCCGCGCACCGCGCCCGGACCCGGACCCGGACCCGGGCAGCCAGAAGTTCAGCGCCGGCACCCCGTGGCTGTGCCAGGACCGGAGCAGCTCGGGGAGCAGCAGGGCTGTTGTCCCGATCCCTCGCCTTCTCCTGCGCGCCCCGGCCCTGAAAGGGCACTCACCCGGGGCCACAAGCGGCAAACTCACAGCGCCTCCCACAAAGACAGCAGCGGCGACGACGACGGCAGACCCTGGGAGTCCCCGCGGAGCCATCGCCGCGTCCCTTCGCCCTCCTCCCCCGGGGCGCCGCGTCCCGGGATCTAGCAGGCGGCGCAGCTCTGGGGCCGGCAGGCAGACAGTGACAGAGCCCGGCCCCGCGCGCCACGAACCCCGCCCCGCCGTGGATCCTCCCCTCCAGTCCCACCCACGTCAGCTCCGCCCAGCCTCTCCCCACACGGGCGCAGGCCCACCACATGGCCCCGCCCTCGGACCCGCCCACCTCACTCTGTCCCCACCTCTCCCCTCCTCGCCAGCTTCCTCTCCAAATCCGGAGGCGGCTTCAACCGGCAGGGTTAAGCCATGGCCCCGCCCCGCATGCCCCGCCCACAGTGACCCGGCCCTACCTCTTCCCGCCCTTAGACCCCGCCCACATCAGCCTGGCTCCTCCTCTTCCCACCGCTGCCCCTCCCTTTCCCAACTGGGTTTTACCCGCTAGTGCCAGGATTGCGCGGGAGCCGGAGGCAGCGTCAGAGTCGCCTTGGCTTGTCCTGCCCGGCTCTGGTACTGGGCGAGCGTAAGAAGATGAAAACAGAGAGGGGGCAGTAAGCTCTGGATGCAGATATGGCCAGCATTGGAGTGGGCACGATTTCTTTTCTCTTTTGGCATCTTTATTCAGCTGGCATTCCCCTCGGTGACTGGTCCAGGAGGGGCACTCCGCTGGACCTCAGATTCCACTGTTTGAAAAGTGAGAGAAGGCAAATCATTAAATTTCTTCCTATCTCTGCTTCCATTGAAGCGACTCCTACTGGGGGGAAAAAAACCTCTACATAGCTCCAGGATTAAATTGCTTTTTTTAAAAAAATAATGTGTTTACATTGCACTTTGCAAATACTTCCACGAAGTAGCTCAGTAAGTGCCTAGTCACTTATTATCTCCTCATATCCTTACATCAGCTCCGTGGGGCGACTAGTATCCCCATTTCATAGGCCAGGGAGTAAACCCACAATGGCCGGGCCACAGTGATAAGTTAGAATTAGCTCCTCTTTATTGTGTTGGCTCACTGCTGTGCCCTCCGTGCACCTGGCTTAATGACAGCGCAGACTAAGAGGTCAGAAGTGGGTTTTGAAGTTGAATTATCATCACAAAGGCATTGATTGGACTCAGAGCCTTTGAATAGTTCCCTCTTTACAGCACTGTAGAGACCCCTGAAATAGGGTGGTCAAGCCTTGAGCAAATGCTAAGAACACCAGTGAGGCCAGGGGCTGGGGGTTAGGGGTGGTCACCACCGTATGTGGCTCTTCCTTGGCCTGACCAACAAACAGCCTCCCATTTTCAAAGTAGGACGGCTTATCTTCTCATTGAGTACTCCATTCAGCCTATTAGACTCTTACAAACATTTGCACCGATGTGGGAATTGCCATTGACAGAAGCTCTGCCACTACAGATGGCTAGACTGAAAGATGCAGCCTCTGCCCTTTGAAGCCAAAGGCGGGTGCTGTGTATCCTGTGCACAGTTCTGTACACATCCTGCAGTCTGGGCGGCGAAGTAGTTTTATACCAACATAAAAACGGACAATGACTGCAGAGGAAAGAGGTCAGTATAGGTTTCTAACTTAAAAAAGGAGAGAGTCCTGGGCCTAAAAATTACACTGTAAAGTATAAGTTGTAGCCAGAACCAGCTACATAATTTGCAGAGCCCAGAGTAAACTGAAAATGCAGGGCCTTTTGTTCAAACATTACTAAGGATTTCAAGCCGGCAGTAACAGAGCATTCAATCAATCAGAGAGCCCTTCTAAGCATGGGGTCCTGGGCAACTGCACCCATAAAGCCAGCTCTGATTTGGGAACTTAAAATACGGCAAAATGCTTGGACCAAGAGATCTATTCAAAATGTAAAATAACATTTTAAAGTTGAATGGTTTCCCTCTTTTCTCACAGATTGAATTTATTATTAAAAAGACAGGATCATTTTTAAAAACAAATTTGAATTGGGTGTCTGCTTATGACTCTCCAGAATTAAGAATACAACCCAGTAACTAAAACTGGAGGAAACCTTAGTAATCATCTGCCAAGCCCCTTCTGTATCGATGAGGGATAGTTAAGTGGCTTGCCTGATACTTCATACCTAGCAGGAGTCAGGGTTGGAACCCAAGGTTCTGAAATTTCCCTTCTCAGACTTCCATAACGTTTAGCTGCTTGACACACTCTCTGTGGATATCTTACTGTCACATAACCCCATATACTCGTACCTGCATTTGCACATCTTGTTAAAGGGAGGGAGAAAATGAAGGAAGGAAGGAAGGAAGGAAAGGAGGGGAGAAGGAAGGAAGGAAGGAGACAAACTTAAATTATTTTCCAGGTACTTACTGCTACAGATTTGTTTACCCAATTTAAAAGCCCCACATATGCATAACTAAAAGCTATTGCTTATTCTTTTATTTTAAATGTCAAGATTTCAATTTGATGGAACGTCCCTTCTGTATGAGGAAGGGGATGTCATATTTCTTCTGAGGAAATAAAAATTGACATCACAGGACTAAGGGATCGTCCCCTTTTTTCAAAAATAAAATTAAAGGATAGTAGGTAGAAATTGTTGCAACAATAGCTCTCATTCATTCATCCCTTAGATTTAGTCTGCTCTTGCGGTGTTCCTTCATTAAATCCTCACAATTTTATATTTTGGGAAGTACTGTTAATGATCTTCACTTCAAAGCTGTGGAGCCTAGGATTTGAGGGATTAAGACATTTACCAAAGTCACACATCTGCTCCTCAGCCCTGCCAGAACTCAAATCCAGGATCAGCTTGCTCCAGGCCTGCACTTGAACTTTTCCGTATACAGTTCTCTCTGAAATGCAGGATACTAGTCAATCAGCTCTCCTTTTCCAATAGAAAGTCTTATTCTGTCATTGCACACTTAACCTAGCCATTTTGAATTCTGTCAACAATTGCTTGCTTACATGTTTTCTCTTCTCCAAAGGGAGTAATGTATTTATTTATGGGGATGGGTTATAAATAAAAGCAGTGTATTTTGCTGATTTTTTTGTTTGTTTCTCTCTAAGAATTTAATTATTCCCCTTAGTATAAGCCTTTCCTGTTTTCTTCTGTGTGGCTAAAGTGGTCATTTTCACCACCATCATTTAAATGTGTAGGACTCAGTTAGCTGGTATTTAATGTTGAAAACACTTCCTCGGAAGGCCTCTGTAGAATTTCTTCTTTCTGTGTTTTAGATGTAGTCATCTTTTCTTTTGAGATGTTATATCCAGGAGAAAAGCTAACAGCTCTTTAAGAAAAACCATGTTTGCAGGGGAATAAAATGATATTTTATAAAATCTAGGGTTATTTTGGCCTGACAACAAGCATATACTATGTTCTTAGTACTGGGCTGAGGGTAAAGTTACTGAACATTTAATAAAAGATTCTATCTTTGCTCACAGAAACTTTTTAAACCTACCTGGGAGAAAGGAAACAACAGCCTAGTGAAACTGGACTGCTCAAAGGCTCAGGGGTCAGGGCGTAAAGCCTCGCCAATGGCTCACTCTGTGGCTTGCAGCAGCTTTTCTTCAGTCAGTCTTCTTACCCATAAAGTTCAGGGTGGGGAACAGGCTGATTTCTAAATGTTCCTATCCAGCCCTAAGAGTCCACACCATAATGAGTAATCAAATGATAAGGTTCATGGTGCCAAAGTCAGGCTAGACTGTAGGGCTTCTCAACATTATTGACATTGCGGGCTGGATAATTCTTTGTTGGGTGGCTGTTTTGCATATTGTAGGATGTTTAGCAGCATCCTTGGCCTCTACCAACTCAATGTCAGTAGCACCCTCCCCCCTGCCATCCTCCCCCCCCCCACCGCCAGTTGTGACAACCATAAATTTCCCCAGATATTACCAAATGTCCCCAGAAGGACAAAATTGACTCCAGTTGAGAACTACTAGGCTAGAGGGATTCCAAGGTGATAAAGATTGCAACTGGAGGCTTTGAGCAACGCTTCAGGGAGAAGGTGCAATTTGAGCTGAGTCTAAAAGAAGTGCAGGGCTTAATGGAGAAGTGAAGAAAATGTACAAGCATATGAACAGTGAAAGAATTTGCATGGTGTAGGCTGCACAGTAATGAATGTGCATGAGAGAAAGGAGAGAATGGGTCAGCCATAACTGTGGGTCACAGCTGAGCATAATAGTCTCAGAGAAGCGAGAACATCAAATACCCAGGGATTATCACAAATTATAATAAATGATTCTACCATGAAACTGGATATTTTTAGGGATGGGAGAAAAATTTCCATTATTCAACTACATATTTTTCTTCATAAATCAGGAAGCTGCAAATAGAGATGTCCTAACTCTGCTGACGCTTTCATTTAGGTTAGCAATGATGCCCACAATCTCCACCTTGTTTCCTGCATCATCACGTTGGGCTTTGTTTCATGGACACACAGTCTTTTGAAAATTGCATGTAAGGGACTCAGGCCATTTGCTGGCAGAGACTCAAAATCGGGTGGATATACATTGACATGGTTTTTGTCAGTAAAGAGTAAGACAGACTTACGGTGAGGAACCAGAACCACATGGCTCTGGCGCAGTAAAACCCACAAATGCATGTTTCAGAGAACAAGCTTTACAAGGTACAAGGTGTCTGTCTTAGACACGCTTTATTTTGATTGTAATTAACAGAAACCTAAACACTAGCTCTATAAACAGTAATTTTATTTTAAGAGTAAAGCACTCTCAAGGATATAAAATGAGCCAGGCCTCAAGTCCTTAAGCAATTCAGAACTGGGAACAGTAAGTAATAAATATAGGAAGTGCGGTGACTCTCGATCTCTCGGGGCTGACACACTTTTCTCACTTCTACCTCTTAGCAAATATTTGCTTCTCTCTCTCTCTC